GCCCACTAATCACAGAGGGTCAGTGTGGCACAGGCAGGAGCCTTGGCCTTCCTTGGAAGGGTCCTCAGATGAACTCACATGGGTTCAGGGTAAAGAAAGAGACAGAAGACCTTGGAATCTCCATAAGGTGACACGGATTTCACTTGCCAACCAGCCTGTGATCTGAGAGTTTCAGCAGAATAATTAATCATGGGAGAAAGATGCTGGAACCCTTCTTCAGATTGTTTTCTCCTATAAAAGTCAGCACGATGTCTTGAAATTATAAATCAAACTGGGAAATTCAGGATGATAATTCTAGGTGAGTCTGATGAGGAAAAGCAGGTCCCAATGCTCTTCAGGTCCAGTGGAATGAAATCTTACAAAGTGTCCTTATTAAGCAAATCTAAGCTGCATAGCACCTCAGGGGTGTATTAAGTGCTAGAGAAATGTCTTTTAAGTGAATGAACAAATGAAGGTCATTTGGTCACAAGTATCTAGTTGGTCCTCTTTTTGTTTTACAGGCAAGGTCAAGTGCTTGATTTGTGATAAAGTCTGCTTTAGACCCTGGGTTTCCTGTGCCTAATCATTAATGAGATGCATCCTATTTACAGATGCCCCTGTCATCTTTGTAGGATCCTTTGAGTGGGCTTCTCCATGAGTAGAGGTTTCTTGAGATGTAGAACTTTTAATACTAAAACCCAAACAACCTCTAACAAACCAGTTGAGTTGGTCACCTTAAGTGTCAGAGTCTGTCCTGGGGATCTGTCTTAGGGATCTGTCCTGCTCCAACATCAAACCTCCATCCGCCCTCAGCAGCCAGTCTTCAGCTTCTGCTTCCTTATATCCAACCACAATCAAATTCTGCTACCTCTGTTCAACTGAGACTATTTTGGTCAAGGCCACCAAATCCAAAGATCACTTTCCAAGTCTGGTTTCACTTGTCCTATCAAGTTTTATGACACCATTGAGCACTCCCTCTTTTTAAAAATTAACTCATCTGTACAGAGAGAGCTGACCCCTGCACCCACACATGGAGGTTAAATAGTACTTTTTAAACAATGAATGGGTTAACAATAAGATCCAGGAAGAAATCAAAAATTAACTGGAGACCAATGAAAATGAACACACAACAAACCATAATCTGTGGGACACAGTGAAAGCAGTCCTGAGAGGTAAGTTCTTAGCATTACAAGCTTACCTCAAGAAGCAAGAAAACTATCCAATAAACAATATAGCCCCAAACCTAAAAGAACTAGAAAAAGAACAACAAACAAAGCCAGTGTAAGTAGAAGGAAGAAAATAATAAGGACCATAATGGAAATAAATGTCATAGCCACTAAGAAACAATACAAAAGATCAATGAAACCAAGAACTGGTTCTTTGAAAAGATAAACAAGATTGACAAACCTTTAACCAGACTCACCAAGAAAAAAGGGAGGGGACTCAAATAAGTAAAATCAGAAATGAAAGAAAAGAAATAACAACTAACACCACAGAAATACAAAGGGACATAAGAAAATACTATGAACAATTATATGCCAATAAATTGGACAACCTGGGTGGACAAATTTTATGGACAAATTCATAAAACATACAATCTTCCAAAAGTGAATCAGGAAAAATCTGAAAATCTGAATAGAACAATTATACTAATGAAATTGAAGCAGTGATAAGAAAAAACAAAACTCACAGAAAACAAAAGTCCTAAATCAGATGTCTTTATGAATTTTACCAAATATTCAAAGAATTAACACCTATCTTTCTCAAACAATTCCAAAAAATTTAAAGAGAAGGGAAGACTCCCAAGCTCATTTTAAAGGGCCAGCATTATCCTAATTCCAAAACTAGATGAAGACACTACACAGAAAGAAAATTATAGATCAATCTGATGAACATAGGTGCTAAAATCCTCAACAAAATATTAACAAATTAAATCCAGCAATATGCTGAAAAGATCATACACCATGATCAAATGAAATTTATTCTGGGAATATAAAGTTGGTACCATGTTTGCAAGTTAATAAACATGATATGTCACAAATAAAATTAAGGATGAAAATTACATGATCATATCAGTAGATGCAGAAAAAGAATTTGATAAAATTCAGCACCCACTCATGATAAAAACTCTCAACCAAGTTATAACTTAACATAATAAAGGCCATGTATGACAAATCCACAGTCAACATCATACTCAATGAGCAAAAAAATAACAGTGTTTCCCTTAAGATTAGGAATAAGATAAGAATGTCTGCTTGCACCACTCTTATTCAACACTAGAGGCCCAGTGCAAAAATTCGTGCACAAGTGGGGTCCCTCAGCATGGCTAGCAATCAAGGACAAAGGGGGGGGGGGGGGTGTTAGCTGGCATGGGGGAGGGCCTGTGGGAGTTTGGCTGGCCCAGGGGGAGGGGCCACAGAAGGTTGGCCAGCCACAGGGGGTTGGCTGTGGGAGTGCACTGACCACCAGGAGGCAGCTCTTGAGGTAAGTGTCTGACCCCTGGTGGTCAGTGTGCATCATAGCGATTGGTCTTTCCAGTTGTTCTGGTTGTTCAGTCCTAAAGGTTGCTTATGTTTTTATATATAGATTGTATGGAAGCTCTTGCCACAACAATCAGACAAAACGAAAAAAAAAATGCTTCCAAATTAGAAAGGAGATAGTAAAACTGTCATTATTTGCATATGGCATGATACTGTATATATTACATCCTCAGGACTCCACCAAAAACTACTAGAACTGATAAATGAATTTGGTAAAGTAGCAGGATACAAAATTAATATTCAGAAATCAGTGGCATTTTAATACACCAATAATGAACTATTAGAAAGAGAAATTAAGAAAACAATCCCATTTATCTTTGAAAAAATAAATAATGTACCCAGGAATAATTTTAACCAAGGAGGTTAAAGACCTGTGGTCAAAAAAACCATAGGAAACTGAAGAAAGAAATTGAAGAGATACAAACAAGCGGAAGCATATACCGTGTTCTTAGATAGGAAGAATTAACATTATTAAAATACCCATACTACCCAGAGAAATCTATAGATCCAAAGTAATTTCTATTAAAATACCAGTAGCATATCTCACAGATCTAGAACTAATATTCCAAAAATTAGCAAAGCCTAGAGCCTGGAGTCAGGGCTAGCTCTCTTTCCCTCTCTGTCACCAATTTAAAAGAGAATGGTAAGAATGAAAATGCTGATGAGTTAACAGCAGGGCATGAAAGGGAGGAGATGGAGATGGCAGCCTTCAGGGTCAGGGAAGTGACCTCCTGGTGTCAATAGAGGGTTGCAGTCACTTTACAGGCAAGGATACCAAACTCAGAGATGTTAAGAAATTTGCCCAAAGATGCAGAACTAGCAGGTAATGGAGTCACACTTTCAAACCCAGGTATTTCTAGACCCAGAGTTACCTCATAATTGGAGAACAGACTATCCCACAAATTACTGTGACACTAGCTTGAATGCTCTTGATTCACCTTATTGGAGGTTAAGTGTTTATCGATATTCTTGGATGCTGTACAAATATGTTTATCCATAAGAAACATCTAAGAATAGCCTGGGGGAAAACATACAAATTGTAATTCCTAAGATGCTATGATTCTGGAATGACATTTTGCCCCATTTTAAGGGTAGAGGGAGAGAAATTGGGTTGGCCCATTTTTAAAAATGTAGACAGCCTGGAGCTCAGAGTCACAGACCTCCCCCGGTGAACACGCGTGTGCCCTGTGGAAGCCCTGGCCACGTCATGCCCACCGGGGACAGCTGCAACGGCGATGCTCGTTTCAACACCCCGAGGCAATGATTTGCTTTCTGAACAACCTGTGTGCTGACAAATTAAACATTCCCCTGCTCGTGTTTAATGAGAAACATCTCTCAGTTGCTGTATGAAGATAATGTAATTAGGGCCCGAGGCCAAGGCCAGTGAGTGCACAAGAAAAATGACAATCAAGAAGGTTCGGAAGGGAAGTTGCATTGTTAGATTTTCCCGGGAGCTTCAGCCCTTCTTCCCTGTCGGCTTTGAACAGAATACGCTGACACCCTGTACGGTCTCAGGAAGTCGGATCCAATTTAGTGCGGCATGAGGTCAGTCTTGCTTTTACCCTGGGCGTTTCCTGAGCCAGAGCTCTGTCTTCTGCACCTCACTGCGGGGGGCTCACTGGATAGGTGCAGCCTTGTCTTCACCTGTTAGTAAGGGGACCAGACATCCCGCTTTGGGGCGGGACAGTTCTGATTTTTAACAATTTGTCCCACGTCCCAAGGCGTTTTTTAAAAAGTCCCGATTTTTCAAAATCGTGACTGTCCCGCCAAAAGCAGGACGTCTGGTCACCTTACCTATTAGCCATGGGACTTTGGCAAGCCACTAATCTCAAGCCTCTTTTTTTTTTTTTTTTTAACCAAGGATAGTTAATATCCCCATGTCACCTTGATATTATTAAGATACAGCATTAGATTGAGCCATTTGGAACAGCCACTATTTGACCTGTAAAAATAGCCATTGCAGGGAGTTGAGCCTGATCCTCACCATAAGACCTGGTACAGCGATCATTCAGCAAGTGGTAACCGCTATTGGGATTATCAGCCCAAACAAAGCACGTTGTAGGCACTCAGTAAGTCAGTACTAATCACTTTGGATTGATAATTGACACATGGGCTTATGCAATGGAGACTCTGCCATTACACATCCTTCACTTGACATCTAATTCTTCTCAGGTGACAGGAACTCTGCTGGGCAGTAAGAATGCAAGTAGACGGGAAAAGCAGAATCCCTTCGTGAGGGACAGTGGGTCGTAGAGGGGTGCAGTAAGTGTAATAGGTTGAGGAGGGGCGCTGTGCAAAAAAGTATTAGTAAAAGGGACTACGGAGAGCACAGCCAGGCTCCGCACAAAGGAAAGAGTGGTTGCTTTGCCTAATATATTTTTGGCTAACATATTTTTGGCTAATATATTCTTGGATGTTCTCAGATGCCAGGTACTGTTCTATAATTGCCGCTGATGGTGTCCTTCTCCCCGCGCCTTCCAGCCCCTGAAGATGCACTGCAGGGTCTGTGCCCTGGTGACAAGCTCGGGACATCTGCTGCGCAGCCAGCTAGGCCCCCGGATCGACCAGACCGAGTGTGTCATCCGCATGAACGACGCCCCCACGCGCGGCTACGGGCGCGACGTGGGCAACCGCACCAGCCTGCGGGTCATCGCGCACTCCAGCATCCAGCGGATCCTGCGCAACCGACACGACCTGCTCAACGTGAGCCAGGGCACCGTGTTCATCTTCTGGGGTCCCAGCAGCTACATGCGGCGCGACGGCAAGGGCCAGGTGTACAACAACCTGCACCTGCTGAGCCAGGTGCTGCCGCGGCTCAAGGCCTTCATGATCACGCGACACAAGATGCTGCAGTTCGACGAGCTCTTCAAGCGGGAGACGGGCAAAGACAGGTACAGAGCGCGGGGTTGGGGGTCCCTGTAGGGGCGCGGGGGTGGAGTGGGGGGAGGAATGTCGCTGGCTGGTTCACCCCAAACAACTACTGTGGCCCCACTGCTCATGCCATTGACTGAGCTCACCTGCAGGGCCTCCTGGAAACTGGGCGGCTCAGGCTGAGTGTGTAAGGCAGAGTGAAATAAAGAAACGAGACAGCTGTGTGGGGAATGCAGGACCAAATCCCTATTTGTGAGGGAGAGGCCACACAGGGCTGGCTTACCCTGGTGTAACGAGTGTGAGTTAATCACCTTACTGATTTCATTTGATTTGATTTGTGTGAACATGAACCAAAAAGAAATATAGGGGTTGATTTTTTTTTTCTTTTCAAATGCAAGCGTTTATTCAGTCAGCTGATATTTATGGAATACCTATTATTTCACTGCACCAGGCACCAGAGATGGAGTAAAACACGAGATAGATCTAGATCCTGCCTTCCTGGAATATAAAGCTTACAGGGCAGGCGCACAGGCACCGAGAAGTGGCCAGTGTGCTGAGCGTCGCGAGGGGAAGAAAGCCGTGCTTCAGTGAGGAGGGCAGGGAGGCCTGCCCGAGTCTAGGGAAGGCTTTTCCAATTCTTAGTCACAACTCAGTAATGAGACATGAAGTCAGCGTAGTAATCACGGCAGGATGGTTTTTGTTGTTGTTGTTGTTTTTAATGTAATAGCAAGAATGACATAGAATAGACATTATTACCCTCATCACTGCAAAGTATTGCTTAATTCAATAATATTGGTTTTGGTTTTAGAGATGTAACTACACATATGTAGAAGGTTCTTTATGAGGTGACAAAAATGTTCTAGGATTAGATAGTGGTGATGATTGCACAATCTTATGAATATACTAAAAACTTCTGAATGCACACTTCAAAAAGTGAAATAAAATGAAAACCACACATGCATACAAACATCTGTATATGTGCTCAATCATGATGTTACATGCATTTCTCACTGTAGATTAAAATGTTTTGAAAAGCATGAGTCTAGGAGATGAGGAATGAGGGAAAGGCTTTCTCAAAAAGGTGTATTTAAGCTGAGACCTAAGCCAATAATTTTTATCCAGGAAAAGAAGAACCTGGGAAGGGAAGAGAGAAACCTCTTTATGGGCACTGGAGTCAGAGGCGGAAGAACCCTAAACTCTAACCCTAACCCTAAATTGGAGAAAAGTTCCCTAAAGCTGTGGGGAGAGGGTGGGATGAGGGTCACAGCCAGAGATGAGGCAGACATATAGGCTCATGAGCTGGCAAAATCTAGGTTTAAATTTTTTTAAAAAAAGAGCAGTTAGGTATCAGAAGGAGCAGTACATGGTATTCCAAATACACAGCTCTAGGTTGGAATTCTGACCCTGCCCCTCATGAGTTGTGTGTCCTTAGACATCTTATCTAGTCTTTCAGTGACTTCACATGTGAAAAGAACATAGGGACTATGCCTCATATGACTGGTCTAATAATTAATCTCTCTTGTTTCCTTAATTCCAAGCATGTACTTTTATAATTAATATACATTTAATCATGTCATTTACTCCCTCCCTTAGAACTGTTGCTGACTCAATCTCATCTTAAAACTAAAGAGATGTGATAAATAAAGAATATAAAGTACTAAATCCACTGTTTGGCTAGTTCAGGCAACTCATTTTTTGAGAACAAAACCAATTGTTCCCAAATTTTTTGCTTGGAAGAGCTTTCTTTTTACTTATTTTTAATATAGTTTTATTGATTTCAGAGAAGAAGGGAGAGGGAGAGAGTGATAGAAACATCAATGATGAGAAAGACTCATTGATTGGCTGCCTTCTGGATGTCCCTTATTGGGGATCTAGCCCACAACACAGGCATGCACCCTGTCCAGGAATTGAACCCTGATCTCCTGGTTTATAGGTTGATGCTCAACCACTGAGCCATCCTGACCAGGCAGAGCTTTCTTCTTAAATCCTGGAAACCTGTGACCAGTGAAAGCTGGTCTAGGCAGGACTGGGTGTGGCATCTGAATAAAAGAGGAGAAGGGGAGCTGGCTTTTGGCACTGTGGCCTCCTTTCCTGCTCAGCCTAACCAGCAGATCACATAGGTCATCGTCACAAGCTGCCACAAAATCCACTCACTTATTGCCCTTTAAAAACCACAAGTAAAAGAGAATGTCACTCATTTAAATTAGTTATTTAATCAAGAGAGCATTTTATAGGGGAAGAATAATGAAGGGAATTATTTATAGTTTAATTTTTGACTGGTTAGAAAACTGAAAAGTAGAAACAATCTTTTCAATAGAAAGCATGTCTCTCTTTTTAGTGTAATGGTTGTTGGCTAATTTTAAATATTTTTAAAACACTGCTGCAGTGTTTGCTATTTAAGATAATTACCAATTGCTATGGATCTTCTTAAGAAATAATTTTAAGTTGGAAATTTGGAGACTAGTGCCTCTATGCCTCTGTGCCTCTTATCTTTAGGAAACTATTTTTTCTTCTTCTTCTTCTTCTTCTTCTTCTTCTTCTTCTTCTTCTTCTTCTTCTTCTTCTTCTTCTTCTTCTGCAAAAAGCTGTATTGTTTCATTTGGTCCAATGCATGGGAGAGGGCTCCAGGCTGGTTAAAAGAATGGCTAGTAGTTTCGGGAAGAGGCCCAGGTAAAAGCCAGAGACCCCAGGGGGATGCAGTGGGCCTCTGAAAGGCCTCTGAGCTCCAAAGGCTCCTAGTCATGCTCGAGGGTAAACCTTCCGAAGAGACACTCGCCCAGCCCAGCCTGAGGCCAGGACCTGCAGATGTTAGTCAGGTGGCCGCTCATCTTCTTGATCAGTTTCACCTCCTCACTTGGGAAGTAGTTCTCCAGGAAATCACAGAGATAAGGATCTGCATGGGTAGAAGCCAGGACCTGCAGCTCCAAAAGGGCTTGGTTCAGGCTCTACTCCAAGGCCAGGGCGGCTTCCATGGCCCTGAGCTTTGCCCAGTCATCCTGGGAAGGTCTCTGCACATCCTGGGAGAGAATGAGGCCGCCCCCCTTGTTTTGCATCTTTAAGAGATGCTCAGCACCTTCGTGCTTCTTCTCAGCCAACTCACGAAAGAGGTGGCCCAGCCAAAATGGTTTGGCTCAGTGGATAGAGCATCAGCCTGCGGATTGAAAGGTCCTGAGTTCGATTCCTGTCAAAGGCATGTACCTTGGTTGCAGGCATATCCCCAGTAGGGGGTGTGCAGGAGGCAGCTAATCGATGTTTCTCTCTCATCGATGTTTCTAACTCTCTATCCCTCTTTCTTCCTCTCTGTAAAAAATCAATAAAATATATTTTAAAATAAAATAAAATAAAATAAAGCATTAAAAAAATAAATAAATAAAAAAGAGGTGGCCCACAGCCTCCAGAGCTACATCATCACAGTCAAAATAATAGCCCAGCTGAAACCGGTTTGGATAGAACGTTGGTCTGCGGACTGAAAGGTCCCAGGTTCAATTCCGGTCAAGGGCATGCCTGTACAGTGGTTGCAGGCACATCTCCAGTGGGAGGTGTGCAGGAGGCAGCTGATCAATGTTTCTCTCTCATCGTTGTTTCTAACTCTCTATCCCTCTCCCTTCCTCTCTGTAAAAAATCAATAAAATATATTTTTAAAAAAATAGTAGCCCAAAGAGAGGTAGGTGTGGGAGGCCTGCAGATTCAGGTTGGCCAGGCAATTGACCACAGCCTCCATCTCAGTGGAATAATTCTGATGAATTTGGGAGCTCATGGTTGTTCAGCAATAAAGAGTTAAGGTAGAAAAAAAAATGGTGTGTTGGCTGGTCCCAGAGGTGGTTTTGAAGGTGGTGACTGGATGAGACGCAGGAGGGTGGCTGGATGCTGGAAGAATGGGCATCCCTGGGTCTGTTCCGTCCAAACACTGTTGAAGCAAGAGACAGATCAGGACCTCGGAGTGTGCTGCCAGGAAACTCTCTTATAGGAAATAATATTGTATTGATTCGATATTCTCATGTGTCTATATTCTTAACCTGCAACTTACTCCAAGCTAAAAGAACAAGTCCAAAACAGCCCTTCAGAACAAAACTACTTCTGTAAACTAACACACAAAACATATAAGGTCCTACAGTATTTCCTCTATGTATGCTTGTCTTGAAACCCAACAACAATGTAGCATGTATCAAAGATACACAAAGTATGGAATATTTAATTTTGCCCATCTTATAATAGGACATTCACTTCAGGCTAATATTTTGAAGAAATAGAATAGTTCAATAGATTTTGATTTATAGAAGTTTCATACTACTTCAAAGTGAAGAAAAAAATGACTCAGGAACAATCTGCAATTAAGAAGCATGACAAATGAGATAGATGGCCAAGTGGTATTCTTAACATTAGAAAGTAACTGTACTTGAAAATAACTTTATAATTGAATAAGGGTACATTAGGAAAATATGATTCAGAACCAATATTATAGTAATTAAATAAAGGAAGCATAAATGAAATAACTGCAGGAAGAATATTTCCATAGAGATTATAAATGAGATTCTGGTGGAGCAGAAAGGCCTTTAATTGTAATTTAGTGTGCACTATGGAATTATCGGCTCAGTGTGTTACTTCATCATATAAAAGAATATCTGATAATTTTCCCTAATAAGCACATGACAGCTCTTCATATTCCTTCATTACAGATGATTAAATGTAAAAACAGTAGCTATTCCTTTGTTGGAAAAAGAATTCAGATCTTTTAAAGAAAGACAGCACAAAGAAGTTGCATTTCTATAGCATGTGATCCCAAAAGGCTATTATTTAGAAAGTCTGGGGAATTTTAAGGGCACTTTAAATAATTATTTATTTTAGTTTCTTTAGTCTTTCACTTGGTATTCTTCCCATTTTTACCCACAAAACCTTTCTCTGGAAGCCACATCCTCCTGTATTTCAGGCTGTAGCTTGTGATCACTTCAACACACAAAGAAAGCCAAAATCATGGGGGAACTTCTTCCATTTGGAAATATTCTTATGGTGTTTCAGACAACTCTAAAAGCATAGAGACATGGGTAGGCTTTCCAGTTCTGGGCTCCACGTCCTCCCAGCTATTCACTCACCTGTTTGAGCCTAGAACCCCCAGCCATCCATCCCATTGTCACAGCCACATAGGTGGAGACAGGATCTAATTTGAGCCAAGGAACTTCCTTCCCTTCTCTCTTCCAGTTTAGTCATTTCTGCTCTATCCCATCTCCTTCATTCCCAAAGGTCTGATGAACTATCCTGGGTGAGAAGACACAGGAATTGTTAATACACACATAAGCTAGAGGCTTTAGAATGTAGCAATTACTGCCCTGACTTCTGATGGTGGTTCCTACGCATGAATTCCGGAATGACTAAAGGCTATCAGTTTCTTTGTGCTTGCTAAAGCGCACCATGCACCAAAAGGGATGCTGAATTATTATTTTCATTTGCTCCAACCTAGCAACCCGAGAGGAAGAAGGGATCTCCATGTATCTACACATCAGCCTAGGTACTTTTTAAGTATGGCGTTCTCTCATTGTTCCTCCAAAGAGACCAGGAAAAAGGAGCTTTCCATGCCCGCTTTGCAGAGACCAGCAATAACCTGCTCAGGTCACTCAGCGGGTTAGTGACAGAAGCTGGTGTGATACAAACCCATGATGTTCTCACCTCTAGGAGCTTTTCAGTGTACTTCCTGGGCTATTAATGGGTCACGACACAGTGGAATGGAAAACAGAAATGAGTAAAGGCATTAGCACCAGAAAGTTGAATCCATGAATTCGGGAATGACTAAATCACTCATTCCTGTCAGGTATTTGACAAAAGAAAGGACTTTTTAAAATGCCCTTTTTTTTTTTGTTGTTGTTCTTCATGTGAAATGGAAATAATGCAACCTGCTTTACAAAAATCCTTCCTTCTGAAAGAGGGGTGGCACACAGAGCAAGTAGAAAAGCTTTTCTGCGGTCCTGTTGTTCACATCACATGGCTGCGGCTGGGCAGTCAGACAGCCTGACCTTGGGGATAGGTGTTTGAAGCTGGCTGTTGAGGCATGCCCTAAGCACTAAGGAGAAAGTAGGAGTGCAACCCCCAAAGAATTGAATTACTGTACACAGCAGCATAGTGTAGTAGACCGAGTCATTCTCACAGGTCAAATTAGACCTTGGTGTGTGTCTCCACAGTGGTCCTTAGGCTTGGCACGTGGTTGGAGCTCAATACTGATGTTTGAGTGGACAAGTGAATAAATGTTGGAATGCACAGATTCATTTCTTCAACTTTGTCAATGTTTGGTCTTCTAATAAAAAAATTCCAGAGGGCTCTGAGTATTCTGACGTAAAATAAAGCAAATCTTGTTTAAACATAAGCATTACTTTGGTCCCCTTCCTCTGGTCATTAGCCCCTCTCAAATGAATGTACACCAGGTCCTCAAATAGCACCGTTTTGTTCAATATGTTTTGTCATAATGTTAATGAGGGGGAAAATCAATTCCCAGCCAGAGTCCCTGTGTGTGTGTGTAGAGTTTGCACCTTTTCACCCTGTCTGTGTGGGGTTTCTCCAGATGTTCCAGTTTCCTCTCACATCCCAAAGATGTGCCTGGGAGGTTAACTTTTGTATCTCCATTGTCCCCATGTGGGTGTGTGGGTATATAGGGGTGTGGGTGGGAGTGTGCCCTGTGATGGAAGAGCGTTCTATCCAGGGATGGTCCCACCTTGTGCCCTGAGCTGCTAAGATAGATTCTGGTCAACCTGACCCTGAACTGGAATAAATGAAGTTGGAAAATAATCATCTTACTTCTTTATTAATATTTCTTAAATATATGTATATCTCACATGTATTTCAATGTTTAACATTTGAAGTGTTTGGAGTCTTTATTTAGATGTTTGGTCATGTTCCGGTTACTAGAAATATGCCACTGGAACTCTTATTTATATCAATTAGCCTATGGTAAAATTGGTTTTGTGGTAAGTCATTGATTGTGCTTAACGTGGCAGTTTCCAAGAATCCATCTATGATGGGTTAAGTGAGGACTTACTGTACTCTAAGAAAGCCATTCAATCAAGTTAAAGACAAGTTTCAACTAGATTGTTTGAAAGAACAATCAATTAATAGACACATCTGCATTTAATCATATGTAATGAGCTCTTTCTAATCCATGCCACTGGATGAACAAGGAATATTTCTGGTTAGTCAAGTATTTTAGTTAATAAAGGGTTGACACAAGGGGGTTACCATCTTACAGGACATTGAGTTGTGGCAATGTGCACTTGAACACTGAAACATTGACCATCATCTTTGATGATGAGGAAGTCCCTTGAGCATCCTTTAGTGTCACAAATCTGCTCTGGTGGCTCATCATCATTTATGTTTGTACTGTGGAACATGGTGGTATTGGTGGAGTTAAACGTTCCAGTTATTTATCAAATGGAGAGAGGGTGTGTGTGTGTGTGTGTGTGTGTGTGTTTACAGTCAGCTTTGCTCCAGAAAGGGTTTGAAATGGTGGTGGGTATAATGACCATCTTACCAGTGTGCAGACTGAATTGCTGTTACTTCCAGGAAGATCTCCAACACCTGGCTCAGCACTGGCTGGTTCACAATGACCATCGCCCTGGAGCTCTGCGACAGGATCGACGTGTACGGCATGGTGCCCCCGGACTTCTGCAGGTAGGATTGATCCTGCAGGTGTAACTCACCAGATGTTTATAAACATCTGATTCCAAATGTCAACCACAAAACACGTCTGTCTTCTTGAAGCAATCAATTAACACGCCCCAAGTTCTGGTTCTAGAAAAGCAAACAGCATTTAATGATGTGGTATAAAATATTGAAAGTTTTTGTTTGTACTGCTGGAGAATTAAGCCATCTTGTGGGCTTCGTTTATCCTCTGAATATTTATCAACCCAAAGTAATGCAGTAATTGACATAATATTCACGATGAGCAAGCATTAGGAAATATTAGTTTGATTCTTATTTGAAAGGACTGTGGTAATTTTTAATGAATTAAAGAGGGCAATTTCTTTGACGGCAATGCCTGTTTTCTAAAATTAAAATATTCCTTTGAGTCTCTTTCTCTCACCACTGAGTCACCTCGGTTTGTGCTTCTAAGGCCAGAGCACAGGCATAATTATTTTGATGTATTACTTTGACGGCAACATACTCACATCTCTGTTGCTACCATAAGTTACTGCCTTGCAGGTGCCCAGGCAGAATTTGGTTTCTTAACAGATGTGCTGATTTGCGTAAGCTCGACTGAAAACTCATCTGTAATTTAAAGTTGTTATGCCTATAAATTCAGAAAGTGCCCTTGAATTTAGGAATGCCTGACAGCGGCACGTTACCGTCTTCAAATGGTAAAACCTGGGGTGAGGGATGTTTTAAAGTTGTTCAGTAAAATGTATGCTTGCTCCACATATGACACCTAACAACCTCTCAAAAGGCCATAGCCTTTACACAAAATGTGCAGTTTGAGGCAAAAATAAGAAAAGGGTATTTAATCATGCTTGACCACTTTTCTCCCACCCTTTTGAACCTAAAAACCCAACAGCAACAGTCGTCATTTAAATGTAAGGGTCAGGTCATGAAAGAGAAGGAAAGGTGTGGGCAGAGCAGGCCTTTGTTATGTGCTGAACTCACTCGTCCCTAGGGTGACATAATGTAGTGAAGAAGGGTGTGGGGTCCGGAGCCGGCCTGGCCATTACTAACCTAGCATGATCTTGAGCACATCGCTTAATCTCTCAGTGTCTCAGCTTCTTCGTCATTAGGACTGGAGGTGTTGATAAAAACCTTTTTTTTTATTATTTTTTTTAAAAAAAAACTTTTTTTCTACCTCATAGGGTTGCAGGTGGATTAAATAAGTTAATACCCATAAAGTGCTTGGATCAGGGGCTAGTACATGGCAGCAGTTAGCTTGGATTTTTACCCAGTTCCTCATCACTTAATTCACTGGCCTTGTTTTCCTGTGCAAAAAGTAGGTAGGATGGTGCAAGAAAGCAAACTGTTTCCTCAAACCAACAGGCTAACAAAGACAATGGGAGCAGTCCTTATGGGCATGCAGAGAGCTGTCAAAGTCCATGGTCATAGGGCAGATATAATTATGTAATATTGCCAGTAGGAACCGGAGAGAAAACGCTTGATTAAATTGAAATGTTAATGACTGAAGTGTTCAAAGAAATGTTCAATTTATTATGGAAAACAAATGAAAGGCGAGTTAGCCTGTCATTTCTCTTACTCAGAGTGAGTTCATTAAGACTTCTTTACATCGATGCCAACAGTTTATGGAATGATACCAGCAAGGAAGTCAAGATATTGTCCAGGCTCGACATGCTGCCACAGCTCTGGGTGTCTGTCCCTCAGCTCCCATCATCTGTCCCGGTAGTTGTTCTCCCAAGATGCTTTCAGGAAGAACTCTTCCAGCTTGGCCGTGTGTCTCAGTGGTTGATCATTGACTCTTGCACCAAGAGGTCACTGGTTCAATTCCTGCTCAGGGCACATGCCTGGGTTGTGAGCTCAATCCCCAGTAGGGGGCGTGCAGGAGGCAGCCAATTGGTATTTCTCTCACCAGTGTTTTCCTCTCATTATTTATCCCCCTCCCCTCTCTCTAAAAATCAATAAAAACGTGTTGGGAAAGAAAAACCTCTTCCAATAGATCCCTATGCCCAGCATCCTGTCAGAGCAAGTGGAAAATTGTGCTGGGTGTCCCCTGGAGGAGAGGGCTAGGCTAGAGAGGGCAGTCACAATGCCTGTTTGTGAAGATGGGAAGAGAAGGAGCAGGAGGAGCACAGACGGATGCTCAAGTTCCTTTCATCTTCATTCCAGAACATGATGGTTAAACCACCAGGCACCAATTTCTCACGGGGAGACCTTGAGCCTTGCTTCCCCTCATCTGCAAAGTGATGATAAGAAAATAATAAGAGCAAGCAGATCACGGGCAAGTATGTCATGGGGAGGATTAAATGAGATCATTGCCCAACAGACAATTAGTGCTCAGGAAAGATCATTATTATTACTAATGCATTACTACTCTACCATAAGATACTAGTCTGTGAAATTATCATTATTACTATTTTTCCTGAGGACATGAGATTTACCCTAAAAGGTACTGAGAATTTAGAAGTTCAAAGAATAGGACACAGCCTTCGATGAGCCTTACCCACACTGAAAAATAATGAACACGGCAAAGCCTCTTAGAGTCAAAGGATTCCTGCAAACAGTATCTGTAACCAAAGAATAAAAAAGCAATATGTGTGTCAATTCCTCCACTGGTCTGATTGTTTCCACCCCCAAACTTTTTTTTTTTTGGGGGGGAGGGGGGGGTTGGCCTGCTCCTCCCAGCTGCTCTGCCTGGCTGTTCTCCAGCAACAGAGGTGTAGGCAGGGGGCCATGTCTTTATAAGCAAGTGAGGCTGGGGGTCCCCAGGTCATGGGGGCATGCTCTGACTGCAGGCAGCTGGAGAGAGGGAACTCTCCACCCAGGTCGGGCATTCCTACCTCCACAGCCCCAACACTCACACTGCCCAGTACACCCCCTTTTGTATTTATTTTGAAAGGAGGTGAGGATTGTATGTCATGCAGGATACATGTGTCATGATCTCTAGGCCTTAAAGAGGCAAGATAGCAACAGGGCCAAAAGTGGTAAGGGGAGGTTTTGTGAGAACAGAGCCTTTGGTGGAGCAAGGGCTAGTGAGTCCATTGGCATGTACACTCCCCATAGGCAGAGACTGTGTCTGCCTCCCGGCTGGAGCACTAGTGCTTTCTCCCCTAGAGGGGCAGCAAGGGATAGTTCTGTTCTGGCCGATAGCGATAATCCGTAAGTATTATATAAGTGAAAGGTCCTGTCCTTCACTACTCTCTTTAGTGCTGTAGTGAAAGGGTGCTGATGTAGGTGAAAGGCAGAAACTACTGCCTTTGAGAAAACTATCTGTGGAATAGACTGATTTCAGAAGGAAGTTTGGGATGAGGGGGTCTGGGAGGAGAGGTTGACCAGGGAACATATATGCATGTATGCATAGCCATGGACACAAACAATAGTGTGGCTTGGGTGTGCCAGGTGTGAAGAGGAGGGGGTCAATGGGAAGAAAAACAGCAACAACAACAAAATAAACAAAGGGAACATTTGTCATACTTTTAACAATAAAGATAAATTTAAAAAAAAAAAACAAAACTCTCTGACCTCATTGAGCCTTAGTGACCTTGGGCGAATTACGGAATGACTGTCTCAGAAGCCTGTACTTACATGTCTGTAAGATGGTGATGACAACAGTACTTACCTCAAGTGTTTATATAATAGTTCTAAGAGCTAAGAGGTGAGGAGTGCTTGGTGTAGGTTAAGCAGCCCTGGTATATGTTAAGCTGCATTCACTTACCAGGCAAAGGGGCTCACTCACCTATCAGTACATTTTAAGGAGATGTCCAGAGAGAGCACTAACAAATGGTGCTCAGAGGTGAGGAGGCCTGGCTGCTGGGAAGGGAAGGACAGGCATGACCTCCTACGTGAGCTGTGTCCCATTGCTCTTCACTATGGAGAACTGTTCTCATGTGGCCTCCAGCTGCTCATGGGACATCACCGGCTGTTCACCCCATTCCAGTACTTCCTACAAGTGCCCAGTTTCTCACTGGAATGAAGAGTTAGACACATGGGGCCAGATTTCAGCAAAAAGAGAGAACGAACTGTTCATTTAAAAAAAATTAACCTTTTTGGAACTTATGGCACGATTAGTAACCTCAGAAGAAGTCATTTACTAAATGGATCAGAGAGACAAAGAGACTTTCATTCATTCAGCGTCCGTGTGCTAGGCACTGGGGACTTAATTGACGATGAATGACACAGGGCCTTTGCCTTCAGTCACCTGAGTGTCATAAATCTGACTGTCACTTAAAATCCTTGGGCACCCCCCCTCCCCCCAAAGCTTTTAGAACAGAGTTTAAATGACAGTCAGATTTGTGATTCCCTAGCTTAGCACACAAGCCCTTTAGGACCTGGCTTCTGTGTTCACTTTAGTCTCATCGTCTCTGCTTCCACAGACGTGTTTTAGCCAGACTGAAAAATGCATAAAGGAGCTGTACCGGTCTCTTTGCCCTGAGCTTGGAATATCCGCCCCTTGCTCCAGATTACTGCTGGTTCCTTACTAAGAATATTAATGGCTGATTTTTTTTTCTGTACATACCGCATGCCCCCCCTCCTACACTTAATATGAATCCATGTGCCAATTCACCTAACCTTTATGATAATCCCATGAGATGAACGTTGTCAGTGTCATCATTTTACGTAGGAAGCTGAGAGACGTGAACCAGCTGGCCAGGCTTGCAGAGCAGATAGTGCAGAGCTAGGATTTCACCTCAGGTCTGCAGGACTCACTGTGTCCAATGCAGCAGGCCCTCCTTCTCCTCTCTCCCACCTCCTTGCTGAGTCAGACCCTACCTGGCCTCCTCCCCCCCGCCCCACCTCATTGGCTGGTTTCCCCATCTCCCTCATTTGCCTGCAGGCTCCTTAAGAGGAGGGGTCATGTCCACATGTGTCGCTTTAGCACTTGTCATTGTGTCTTGCACTTGCTATATATGTTAATATGGGTTGGCTTAATAGATGAATTTTAAAATCTCTCTTACCTTGACGATGTTTAAGAGACTGATTCTAAATTTATCTCAAGACCAAAAGTGTCGGGTGAGTAA